TGGTGTTGATAAGACCAGTTAATGCGAGGTCGAAACTGCAGTCTACTTCTGTCTGGATGAGAACAACTTTTGGGAAAACAAGGCTATGTAAAATTCAATGGAAAACGTCAGCTCAACTCATATCATTATGGGAAAATTATATTAAATTCCTATAGACGTCCACATTCCGACGCCGAAAATTACCATTATTATTGTGGCGAAAGATGCCGGATAAGGTAAGTTTCCATAGGTCCAGTCGACAATAGGAGCATGTGACGAAAACGATTTCAGACTAACTCTACGCATCGAAAGGAAACTAGGAACAGAACAAATGTCATAGCATCTGACATTTCAAGCTTGAAATATTAAATCGTGCTTGATAATTCATGATCTCATGATGCCTTGCATAAAGCCAAAAATTAGCTCGAGATGTATTCACCCTATTTCGTTTAAGGTGATAAGTGATTGTCAGATGAATTTCTGCACAATGGTTCGAGTCCCGCTGAGGGTGATGATGAGACCGAGGCAAGATTGGAACTGCCGGTTATCCTGGATAAGAATACCTCTTGAGGAAGCAAGGCTACATGAAATCCAATGGAAACGTAAGATCTATTCATATCATTGTGGGAAAATTCAATTACCAATTATCAATTAAACGGAATAGGGTGAGTAAATCCATATACATGATAGACTGGTAATTCCCAAAACCTGTTTATCGAAGGTATTCGACCAAGATGGTGTTAGCCTACTTTTAATAAAAGTAGTATTGAAGAATATCTGTGAGTGCCAATCAAGAGAAGAGTCAACATGGCTTGCTCAAGGTAAGTTAAGGACTGATTATTGAAGTTTTTCCCACAATGAGTGAGCCGTCTAATGCTATTTAATTTCAATTATAAGATGTATTCACCCAATTTCGTTTAAGGTGATATAGGACTGGTGGAAGTAGAATTTTCCCACAAATGATATGAGTTGGGTTGACGTTCCCATTGAATTTTTACATAGCTTTTCTTTCCCAACAGTTGTTCTCATCCAGGCACCAGTGGACTGCAGTTTAGACCTCGCATCGGACTTATCAACACCCTCAGCGGGAGTCGAACCGCGACAGTGCAGAACGGTAGCTTGACCCGCTGAGGGTCCACCCTGGATGAGAACAACTTTTGGGAAAGCCAAGCAATGTAAAAATTCAATGGAAACGTCAGCCCAACTCACATCATTTGTGGGGAAATTGTACTTCTACCAGTCCTTCATCACCTTAACGAAATTGAGTGAATACATCTTATAACTGATTTACTGGTAGCCACGAAAAACAATACTTAATTCGAAAAATATTTAATTTCACTTAGACTTTCTTCACAAAAGCTCACCTCGTCGTCGCCTGGATCTCATGAGTACGCCAGTGGGATTCGATACAGAGTCGTTGGTGTCATGCTACCACTCCACTCCATGACAGAGTCACAAGTAATGGGAAAGTAAAGTAGTAGCATCGCCACGATACTTACGACCCGGTATCGAATTGCACTGGGAGTGCTGATGACCGAGATGAGGTCGAGAGCTCAGTCCCCTCTGGTTGAAAGGTCCCTTTCATAGGCAACTAAAAGTTAGCCTATTTGTGAACTTTATTTTACATTGAGGTTGTTTGACCTTGTGTTCGCAACATGGTCCTATTATTAGGAAGACTTAGAGGAACGCATCTGGTCCAGGGTCCATTGTCTGGATGATCATTTCCAAAGTTGTACTGTGGACTTGGTACATTCCCAAACGTTTCGCCGGCATCGTAGTCGGCATCGTCAGTGAGTATCGCCATTCT